ATATATATATATATATCCGGAACTGACGTCACTTTTCCCCTGCAAGTCAAGACAGAGCAGTGTAATGTGTAACGTAATGTGACAGAGCTTGTGGGGGCGTGTCCCATAGTGAGATAGCAGAAGGAATGTTGAAAGAGAACTTAAGAAGACTTTTAGACCACACACACACACACACACACACACACACACACACACACACACACACACACACACACTCACACACACACAATCTTTTCTTCAGCAGATCCCACACTGAGCAGAAAGTAAACATTCACCACAGCTAGGACTGAAAGAACAGCTAGCTAACCGGGACCACAGCTAAACAACACAAACATAAGACAGTTAAAAATGTCACAACAAACAGGTCCCGCTGCTGTTTCTCTCTGTTCGGGTGCAGTCATCAGTGTTAGCAGTAATGTGCTGCTAGTACTGTAGCAGCTCTCTACGTGACAACAAACACAACGCGTCCTTTACGCTGTTTACTTTGATTTTCCCCACAAACACCACTTACCGCCCGTTTCCAGCCGGTGCTGTCCCACACAGAGGCTTATAAACACGGTCACTGTCCCTCAGAACTCTCCACCTCTTTGTCTTCAACACTTTTTCCCTCTGGTCGCTGTCTTGTTTCCCAGTCCCTGAAAGAAGTGAGCATGCGCAGTAGCGTTTTCCTGACTCCCTCAGCCTGCGTCAGAAAACGGAGGAAGCTTTATGGCAGGTCGATTTTACATATAATCAAACTGGTTTCATAAAACGTTCCTGTTATAATACCAGACGGTTGTGAGGTGATATTAAAAGCACTGTTAGAGGAATATGATATGCCTACACCTTTCATGTCAAAGTTTAAGACTAAAATCATTTTTGTTGCGAAAATATGGGAATTGTAGCCAAACCTTGAAAATAATATTTTGTACAATCTCATGCGATATAACAAGATCAGTGTTGCATAAAGTACCTCAAAGTGATACTTGAGTAAAAGTACAAGTATCTTATCATAAAAATACTTTGGTAAAAGTTAAAGTCTTCTCTAAAAATATTACTTCAGTAAAAGTACAAGTGTCTTATCATAAAAATACTTTGGTAAAAGTTAAAGTCTTCTCTAAAAATGT